TTGAATACAGAATTTTGAAAATAAAAGAATAATTACATTTTGTGTTGTAGTTTCTAGTCATAGTGTTGCATGCTAGCATGCTTAGGTGCTAGGACTATGAATAAGGTCGTAAGAATGTCATTTGAATACCTGGTTAATACTTATGTGACGGAGACAGATATTTCCATGTTAGCCATGTTATATTTATAAGGAACAATGTTCTTGAAACTATATGCTAAGAAGGTGGCTTATATGCATCTATTCCTATTTCATATTCTAGGAGACAACTTAAATCTTACTTTTAAAACTAGTAAGGTATTTACCTTTTTTTTTCAAACCGTTGTAGTTAATTATTGTTCTAACCTTGACTTAATCACAACTGCAGAGGCAATAGGCTTAGGGGTAGCTATATAACGAATGGTTTTAAAATTGTTTAAGGTGCATAGCATGAAGGCAAACATGTTTCCCGAATTTCGCCAAATTTTCTATTAAACAATCACACCTGTTTTAAGCATTAACTTACTCCGATTATATTGCCCTGTTGAAAAATCCAGCATATGTTGGTTAGGTATGTTTTGACGCTGGGATGCTGGTTTAAGCTGGTCCTTTGCTGGTTTATGCTGGTCCTTTGCTGGTTTAAGCTGGTCCTTTGCTGGTTTAAGCTGGTCCTTTGCCAGCACATGGCCAGCAAAAGGACCAGCTTAAACCAGCATCCCAGTGTCAAAACATACCTAACCAGCATATGCTGTTTTTTTCAACAGGGTGTTAACCGTTGCATTGTTAAAACAGTGAGTCAGCTTTAAAAAAAAAATAATGGTATACTAATAGTACAATTGCAGTTAGCGAAGGACTAAAATTGGGTGGGGAACGCATTTTAGTTAAAATAGATAGGCTACTAATAATTAGAGTCTGACAAGATAATTTCTACTGCATGAGCCTACAATAAGCGACGTTGATTTATGGGGGGAACACCCATTTTACTATAGTAGCCTACAGCAGCTGTGAAAATGAAAATATGTAACCATGTAAAAAACAGTGAGCGCTACTGCTGTGAAGAAAAGTAAAGCTGTTGTTGAGAATTAGTTTAAAGCCTCACTCATTCCTGAGGTGTTAACTGTGCTTAGAGCAGCAGCGCGAATCCAGTTAAAACTTGCCCCTTATAGTCTACCGCTTGACAGAAATGGAGAGCGTCAGATAGTCTTTCACAGTCTTTTCAAATATTTCAGATGGGTTACATGTCAGCTGTCTGACATTTGTTGAAATTGCTGTAAAGAACGATCAATAAATGCGCATCGCTCGAAAACCCAAGTATAGGCTAAGCTTTGTAATTGTATCTCAGGGTCAGTGTTAATCATTATTGCACCAGTTGAGAAGTGAGTGTCATAAAGATTGTTTTGACCATAATTTACCCCCCCCCCCCAGACACTGGGGTAATATAATTTCAGGAACAAACAAAGTGCTAGCACCACTTAATATGAACTTTAAAGTCCTGACCGAGTTACAACGTTGGACTTTGACTATGGTTAGACCATGCCGGGCAATTTTATTGACAAAATTATCAAATATTTCACCATAATACATATTTACCTACTTGATGTAAGTGGAATGATAAGACTTTAAAAGAGAACACTGACTTTGTAGTAGTGCTTTGACATAAATTGTTAGACATGTAGGCCTGGTGGTGTACTAGAGGGCGCAACACGAAAGACCGCTGCTGCAGCTGAACCTGAAACAACAGCAGGGCGTCTCAGCACCGCCACATGGTTGCACAGCAGAGTTCTTCAAGACACTGAACACCGAATTGTTTTATTTGGGTCATTTATATATTTGAACAAACAAAAATGAGTATTCATTTTATTGACAAAATTATCAAATATTTCACCATAATACATATTTACCTACTTGATGTAAGTGGAATGATAAGACTTTAAAAGAGAACACTGACTTTGTAGTAGTGCTTTGACATAAATTGTTAGACATGTAGGCCTGGTGGTGTACTAGAGGGCGCAACACGAAAGACCGCTGCTGCAGCTGAACCTGAAACAACAGCAGGGCGTCTCAGCACCGCCACATGGTTGCACAGCAGAGTTCTTCAAGACACTGAACACCGAATTGTTTTATTTGGGTCATTTATATATTTGAACAAACAAAAATGAGTATATAAACTCTATAATTACATTATAACAGTGATGTGATTTTATCAAGTAAGACATCCTGTGAGAATATTCATGCCAAAAAAGTGCCAAGCCAGAAATAAGGAAGTTGCTACAAGAACACGTCCTCCTGCTTTGGGTCTTAAATTATAGTAATCTTCATTTAATCTTAATAAAATGAGCCAGTTTTTTTTGTCTTTCTTTAAAAAAAATAAATAAATAAAATCAGTTACAAAACAATTAGACAAAATAGACCATTCCTGAATTATTATACACAACACTCTCGGTGCAACATTTTATTCTATAAAAGGAGTGGGTAATCACAACTGTACAGGGGAAACTGACTTTTAACACCATTTCTCACAGTATCAAAAAGCTCACATTTTCCTCTCTGATCTTTACACACTTGTTCTGTACAAATACAAAAGAAATAACATTAATTACTTGTTTTGTTATAATGATAACTGCATTGCACTGAGTAATATAGTACTGGCCCATAAGTTACTGCATTCAATATAAAATACCTATGATTCAGAAAGTTTAAAACAGAATTGAATGATAATCTCACTTGCACACATTCACTCACACAAAACCCAAACCCTTTCATGGTTCGAGCACACTATTTTAAACAAATCAGATACAAGTGATGAATGCAAACGTGCTCAGATAGACAAGGATGTCACAAATTTCAGCCGTGGGCACTTAAACATTGATAAGGGGCCAACTCCTAATGTTATGCCTACTTGGAATAGAATAATGTCAATTTAGGATGATATGAAGGTTTTACCAGCGTGTCTTGTAGTAATTAGAAATAGGCCATGCATGTGCTACGAATGGCCGTGGTTGCACAAATTTCATGGATTTCATGTGGATTATCAGTGCTTCTAGGCCACGTCTGTAAGGGCACCAATGTTTTGACATGCTCACCAACTTCAAAAAAAAGAAAAAAGGAACTACTCTCCATGCAACACTTTTGGGGTGTACAACACATAGGGGACTCGTTTCAAGGGATTAAATAAGAAAAAAAAAAGAAAGAAAGAAAAAAATACATTTCAAAGAAACAACAAAAAGTTAAACGAAAACGAGTATTTCACATTATCTAGTCAGTGTTAAAAATAGAAATCCACCTATTACATTTATTCAAGAACTTTGTAGATTATATACAGTATGTACATTAACTCTTTAATTATTCATTGTCTGTATGTCTATGAAGTTTTTAAAAAAAGAAAGGATCGCAATCAAATGCATATACTCTTCTAGAAAGATGTGCTTAGTAACATTTTCGGGTTGAAGCGAGAGAACAATACAAAATCTACGAATGCATTGCTCTCTGAAGGTCGTGCAGCTGCTGCAGACATGCACTTAACTCTCAAAGGCTGGAATCAAGCGTTGCTTCTGAAAAAAGTCTTAATGCGCACTTAATCAGCTGCTAGCAATTGAAATTATGATCATGGCAATGAGTGCAAGCTAGAGGGAAGAAATGTGTCAAAGGTACCCTCTCCTCAAAGATTTAATGTTTCTTTCGTAAAGATTTAACCCTCCCCAATGTTTTTTTGACATTAACGTCAAGTAACATCAACAGCATTTTGGGGAGAAGGGAGAGAGGGCGTTGAGGGGTATTTTTGCATATCATGCATATCAGGGCAGGAGCTGTTAAGACATGTTTTGTCACTGTGAACTAGGTGCAAATAGGTATTTTCAGGGTGCCTCACAAAAATAGGGGTCCCAGTATCGAACCCTGAGGAACTCCGAAAACCTGCTGCGCAAATCAGATTTGCACGTTTACTTCAATTAAGGCTCTGATCGGCTAGAAGTAAGAATGCATCTAGACATCTCTACTATTATATTTCTGATTATGTCTTCTTTACAAATATGCAAACAAGTGTGCTTATACACACACACACACACACAAACATCCCAATTTAGAAATCTCCCCGTATCCCTGCGAGTTGTTTCTTTTTTCAAACTTTTTTCACAGCCATATGAAATAATATTTGAAGGTTAGATAAAGAGAAAGAACACCTTTTAATGGGTGTTATTTCTGTTAGACGCCATTAATTACAATGAAAATATCTTTAAAAAACAACAAACAAAAAAAAGCAAATACTGTTTTTTGCACCTACTTTTGATGCTTAGACAACAGATACTATTTAAGAAAAAATTTACAAAAATTCACAGTCTTGTCAGCCCCCTGCCTCTACTTCTCATTTGGGTTAGGGTAGATATCAGAAAAACACCCAACTGATTTGTTAAAAAGAAAGAAAAAAAACACTAAAAGAGGGCATGGTACATCTTCAGCTGTCTTTACAATGTGCTCTACGCCAATTTCCATCCACACAGAAACATACAGACTCTAAAACGAATGTAGGGTTTGGGGTGAGTTAGGGTTGGGCCGATAGACGATGCCATCGTCCATTGCCAATGGCTGACAGACACCACGATGTTAAGCTGACATCGTGATCCCCCCCCCCCCCCCCCCCCCCCACCCCCCGCCCCCCCCACCCCGCCCGTCTCGGAGAACAAAGCGAGCTCACGAACCCTAAAGGGAATAAATAGCCTACGAGATGGGAGGATAAAAAAAATATTTCAATACTTTTTCTCGCAATTATCTCATTGGGTAAGTATAGGCGACTGTATATAAATTGCGGGCATCAGGGAGCCACTATTGAAACCGCTTTCGATTGCGCGCTCTCATTTTACTTTCACTTTCACTTTTGAGATTCGCGATCACAAGGACTCTATACTATGAAGCAGCAGTACTTACCACATATTTGACAAGATTAGATGTTTGTCATTGATGCTCAGAATCTGCAAATCATTCACCATCGTCCTATCAGACATTTCTCCTTACTCTGTGTATGTGGTAAGTGAACTTTCATGTACTGTAATGCAACAGGCTACCGCTAGCAAGCGGCTAACCTTTTAGTGGCTCCGAATAACGCATTATTTGTTTCACGGTTAGGGCACACCCCTAACCCCGCACCGCCCACCCCAAGGTCATCGTCCATCATGATGTTTCACTGTAGACATCGTCCGATGCCAATTTGGTAGACATCGCCCAACCCTAGCGTGAGTATACAAATTTAGAACAACAAAAAGTTTGGATAAAATGTACGAATTCAACAAGGCAGCTGTAGATGCATCTCCAACCCACCCACCTCATTAAAATGATCAAATTTATTACATAATTCTACTTTTTCCTCACCATCTTCTTGCATCCATCTTGCATAAAATCCTTTACTTTCTCATGTTTTTCTGTACTTGTTTTTAAAGAATCATCTCAATAAGGGGTACCTTCCCCAGTCATCATTCTCTGTTATAGATATAGCAGTGCTGCGTGCAGTTTGCCTTTCTTGTAGTCCCTTCAAGTAATGGCTAATGATCAGGCATTTAGATGGCGGTGGAGGTCACCAGTGGACGGGTGGTTTGTGGCTTCTGGAGGCATGGCAGAAAACTGCAGCCATGTTCTAACCAGTAGGGGTAACCAATATGGTCGTGCCACCCCTTATACCTCCATATTTAACACATATGTTCACATCTGGAGACAGGGGAGGTGACGTCAATAGCATTTGGAACCCCTGGATGGGCGTGCATGTCTCCTGAGGGCTGGGGAGGAAGGGGTACAAAGAGTTTCACATCATGACGTGGCGCCGTCGATGAAGTGCCAGGTGGTCAGAGCGGGAGAAGCTGCGGTCGCAGTCAGTGCAGCGAAAGGGTTTGATGCCGGTGTGCTTGCGAAAGTGCCGCGTCAGCTCGTCCGAGCGGGCAAAGCGCCAGGTACAGCCCTCCCATGTGCACTGGTATGGCTTTTCACCTGTAAAGTCATCACCATGTCAATCAACATGATATATATGTACATATACACTAATGTAATAAAAAATGCAGAAATACTGTGAAATATCATTATAAAAAAATATATTTTTCTATATTAAAATAATTCTAAATGTAATTTATTCCTGTGATGGCAAAGTTGCATTTTCAGCAGCCACTGCTCCAGTCTTCAGTGTCACATGATACAATTAATGAACTTACTGAATCAACAACGAACTGATTTCAACTGAATAATGACTGTTTGCAATTGTCTTTTTAGAGCTGCTTTACAGCAGAATTTAATTCTGTTTGCATCATCGAATCACTATGTTCTTTTTTATCACTGTAAAGCTGCTTTGAAACAATCTGTATTGTATAAAGCACTATATAAAGCTGACCTAACTTTATATAAACAAGGAAAAAGGTATACCTGTGTGTATTCTGCGATGGGCTTTCAGATGCGAGCTCTTGGTGTAGACTTTGTTGCAGCCGTCATAATCGCACATGTGTACGCGCCTTCTCTTCATGTCTGGTGAGTCAGGGTCAACTTGGATGTCCACATCTGTATTCATACTGAAAACAACATGACACGTTTTAGTTATTAGGGTGTGGCAACCAGTTCAAGTCATACCTAAGCCTATCCGATAATCTAAAGGTTAAGAGAGCATTTTTGCATGTGAAGGCAGGTACAAACATCTTCATGAGTAAAACTGATTTATCTAGCAATAATCCTTGGGATTACAGTGATCAAATTAGACGAGTGATGCAATAAAAACTTGTAATTGCGACACTCTTAAAGGTGAAGCGTGTCATTTCTGCACCACTAATGGCACCAAACAATAATAACTGTTTTGAAAAAGTTTCCTGGACATTCCAAACAAGAATCTGGAGGTTAAATGTCGCTGCACGGTGATATCAACAAGTTTTTAGATGAATCACCCTTTCTTGTGTGTTCCATTTACTAGCCTGCACAGCCTTACATTTCAGCAATTAACACTTCAAGGTACAGTGTCTTTGACAACAATAACAATAATAAAAAAGCATTTTTTTTTTTTGGTACTTTTAAGTACAAATGATTTTAAAATGTTAATTTTGTAATCACTGTGTTTGTTTATTTTAATTAGTGCAAATTTTAAGTACTTTGTAAATATTTTGTATCCATATCACTTATATTCCATGGGGGAGAAAAAAAAAATCTCCTTTTAAAAATTTTTTGAGTGCATCTACAAAAATACTGATATATCGAGAGAGAGAAAAAAGGGGGGAAAATAAACATTTTAGCTATATCGCCAAGCCCTAGTTTGGAAACGACCATTATTTTATTTAAAATTTAGTTTAAATTACACATTGCTTAGCTTATGTTTAGCTTATTTTTATTTGTACTATTTTACATAAAAATCTTTTAAAAGCGCAGTGGCATTTATTAATTTTAGTGCGCATGATGCCAGCAAACGTGACACCAGTTCTAAAAACCCTACTGATTTTAAATAATAATTTTTTAAAAATAGAATCAAATATGATCCACTAATTACTATGCATACATATAATAATCTGGCACTGTAAAAACGCTACTTAAAATGATTCTGGGGCGCCACAGAAGTATGACGAATGTATGTAAATAGCACCATGACATGACCCCTGGTGCAACAATCCTAACTGGCCACCAGGGAGGGCTGAAGAGCAGGCGTGTATGTGTATCTAAATTCCATACAGCTGGAGAGCTTCCAGTTCAATGCCGATCTCTCTCCCTTTCCATTCCCGCTCCAATCCCCCCTCCCCCGCGATGTTTTTTTGTTCAGCCCATGTCTCTCTCCCCTCCGTTCCTTCCTCACTCTTTCTCTTTCTCAGCCTCTTCCTTTCCCCTCCCTGACTGCTAACCAGTTCACTCCCGTTCCTCTTTCTCCCAACTCATTTCCATCGAATTTTCTCTCTCCAAGCAATCATCTGACCGCATGTCCGAACAATTATACACACACCAGCAAAAGACCCTCTTGTTCTCCATCCTGCCCCATTACCCTGCCACTTCTGTCTGTCCTTCTTTGCATTTTACTCCCTCTTTCAAAGGTGTGACGACATTGCAAGTTATGTAACATTGTTTACACCCAGTTTAAAAAGAGAACCCTGCCCAGCAACACACACACCCAACAGAAGCTTATAATCAACGTAAAAAGAGCCATGGGCCTCCAGTGTGTTGAAGGTTACATAATCGTCCAGAGGAGTGGTGCAGTGATGCCATTAGACCAGGATGCCAGACACTCTACCATATATATATATATATACATAAGGAGATATATAGATGTATATAGATACACAAATACACTCTCTCTCACCTGGGTTCCATCCCTTGGGTGCTGAAAGAGGCCGATCCAGACTCTGTGCCACTCTCAGCATCACTTTCAGACTGATACTCGACTGGAGAGGTTGAGCCTGGCTTTATACGCACTGAAAAAATAAAAATAAATAAATAAACAGAAATATGAGTGAAATTCTCAAATGAAATATCAAAATTAATTTCAGCATTTTGTAGTATCTAACCCTTTATTATCATTACTATTATTATTAATATTTTGAATATATATTAATATTTATATGTTATTACATTATATTATAGAAAGTTATTTTAAATTGTAATAAAAACGTTTTTTTTTTATCAAATAAATATTGCATTAATGAACATAAGGGACTTCTTTTAAAAACATGAAAAAAGTCCTACTGAATATTTCTCAAACTTCATTAAATTGCGCAAGAAATATATACAGTATACTTATATAAACGTTTATCCAAATATATACATTTTCTGCTTTCAATTTAATTTAAAAGTTGTTAGTAATTTTGTTTATTTTTGTAATTTTAGTAAGTTTTTAGATTTATCAGTTTATTAATATGCTTTTCAATTTCAATTTTTATTTTCAGTTTTAGTTACTTTAGTACATAAAGTAAATGAAAATGAGAAAAGCTGCCTTGGTAACCAGCTAACAATGTAAAATGAACATTGAACTGATCTATATTTGGTTCCAATTTTTTTTTAATAGAAGTGGTTCTAAAGAAAACTCAGCTCTTGCAATGTGGTCTCAGACTTTCAAACCCCACTGTTGTTCTGTTCACATGTTTAAGAAGCCTCCCACTGAAATAAGGTGCGAGTAGAGCACTGTGCCCATTTCTCAAACAAGCCATATTAAATCAAATACAGAAAGCCCTTCCTGCCATAAGCTTAATTCAAACAACATCACTTCCAGGACCCTATTTGATTCAGAACATTATTTTAAATTTGTGAGAAGTAGTGTTGGGCGATATGCTCCATAGTCATATCGTCCTGTCGCGTCAGCCTGTGAGATAATAATAATAATAATAATAATATTTCCTTACATTTATATAGCGCTTTTCTGGGCACTCAAAACACTTTACATAGAAGGGGGGAATCTCCTCAACCACCACCAGTGTGTGCAGCATCCACCTGGATGATGCGACGGCAGCCATACTGCGCCAGAACGCCCACCACAAACCAGTTTATTGATGGAGAGGAGACAGAGTGATGAAGCCAATCAGCAGATATGGGGATGGTTAGGAGGCCATGATGGTCATAGGCCAATGGGCGAATTTGGCCAGGATGCCGGAGTTACACCCTTACTCTTTTTCGAAGGACATCCTGGGATTTTTTTAATGACCACAGAGAGTCAGGACCTCGGTTTAACGTCTCATCCGAAAGACGGTGCTTTTTGTCAGTATAGTGTCCACGTCACTACACTGGGGCGTTAGGACCCACACAGACCACAGGGTGAGCACCCCCTGCTGCCCTCACGAACACCTCTTCCAGCAGCAACCTAGTTTTCCCAGGAGGTCTCCCATCCAGGTACTGACCCGGCTCAACCCTGCTTAGCTTCAGTGGGCGACCAGTCTTGGGCTGCAGGGTGATATGGCTGCTATCGCCGATACACGATATTATCACGCTAATTTATTTAATTACTTCCTTAGATTCATATCCGGAGAGTGAACCAACTCCAGGGTAAGGCTAAAAGCGGCCTAATGTTACTGTAATCTATTAACTACACATTATATCTTTAGTCAAGTAGCATATGAATGTCATGTCATAAAATATTTTTAATATGACTGAATTTGTTTTTTACATGATAACAATTTAATAGAAACATTGTAAGTTACTAATTATAATGCTTACATTTCCTAAATTATTCAAACAAGCATCTACAGAAAACGAACAAAGAATATTTATTTACATTATCAAAGAACATCATCACTGATTTCAGTCTAGTGCAAGTTTATGCATTTTTATAAAACACTCCCGTTATAATCAGTGAAGCTATCTCCACTGTATGATGAATAAACCTCTTATACTTACATCGCACGTACATCTGCACATAGATATATATATATATGCATCTATACATATCTATGCATCTGCACTTTGTTGTTTATGATGAGAGAATTTGCGAGAGAGCAGAAATCCGTCAGTGAGCGCACTGAACAACAAAACTCCAGTGTTTCAGCGATGACTCATCTGAACGCCTCTGATTGGCCGCTGCATTCTTAAACTCATCGGAATAATGTGTGATTGGTTATAACGCGCAATACGGTAAAAACGCGGGAAAAGAAATATGATGGAACAAATAAGCCCTAATATTAATTAGATATGAATACTAGCCTGATAATAATAATATTAATAATAATTGTCTTGCTATCGTCAAAGGCACCAGTTCTCAAGTCTACAGGACAAAGAAAAAGAGGAAAAAAATATTACAAGTTAAATACATGTTCCATATTGACACAGGGTGTGGATAGTTACGTTCTGGCCTGAGATCTCTGGACATGACCTTCAACCCGCCACAGAGGAGATGATTTGTAGAAGCCCCCCGAGTATTCAAAGATTACCTTCCAAATGAAAGGGGGAAGGGTGCTGTCCTTTCATTAATTGTCTCCTCTCCTCAACCCCAACTGCCCCACATTACTCAAAAGACAAAAAACCTATATACAGAGATACTTCATGTACGGCCTCTCACTCGAGACAATATGGGGTGCAATGGGCTTGCTCAATAAAGCACTGTGAGTCCTCCACCTTGGTAGTTTTCCCATAAATTGAGTCCAAAAAAAAACTGATCTACATTACGGTCTCTTTGAAGATGGTCCCCACCCAAATAACACAATCCGCTGACCTTCATAATCTGTCCATTACATTCAACTGGGTTTCACGGAGCTACACACAAAGTTAATAACCGAGAAAAAAAAAACAGCCAAGCACAACTCCTCCCTGAGTTCATATTTTGGGGTTGTATTAGTGTGTTAAACAAGCATCAGTGTTTTTTTTTTCCATAGTTTTATTTGGGTGGGGTTCTTCTATTAAAAAAAAACATTCAGCACATTTTATTCAGCACTTTTTGTGTTTTAATGTTCTTATTACGGTCCAAGACCTGCATGATGTCTTTTCAGGGGAACTTGAAAGCAGTGAGATTAAAAGGGAAGCATTTCGCTCTAAAGAGGGGTGAAGTAAGGAAAGACCCAATTTTTTGTGAAGAAAACTTAAAGGGGTCATATGATGCAATTTCAAGTTTTCCTTTCTCTTTAGAGTGTTACAAGCTGATTGTGCATAGATAAGATCCTTGAAGTTGCAAAGACTAAAGTCTCAAAACCAAAGAGATATTCTTTATCAAAGTTAAGACTCTGCAACGCCCCCCTAAAACGGCTCGTTCTAACACGCCCCCACATATCTACCTCACTATGTGGAAATATTAGCATAATGCGGCCCAAATGTGCACGCAAAGAAAGAAGGCGTGGTTTCAGTAACCGCAGTTAGTGCTGAAGCAGCCATGTCAGGGAGACGCTGTGTTTCAGTGTGAAAGCAAAAACACTTTATTTGGCCTTCTGAAAGTAGATGCATTTAGGAATCTTTAAGATTACTTACAACAGAACAGCAATGCATTTTATGGACGACCGTTTCGTGAACCTAGGAGAAGAGGTCATTCTGACTTTGCTATGACAATCTGGCGCTTCTGAATCAGCTACTGTTTTGATATTAGTTTAAGTATTTGCTATTGACTGTTCAAATGCGGAGTTTTGCGCATCGTGTGCGTGTGTGTGTGTGTGTGTGTGTGTGTGAGACAGAGAGTGAGAGAGAGATCATAGTGGAGTCAGCGGTCTTAACCGTGGCTTGTGTACTCCACACATACCAGCTTCTTCACTGTGTCTGTCACGCGACTCCGTTCCCCTTTCGGGCTTGAACTGATGGTAAAACTGACATTATTTACTGTCTTTACATTTATTTTGAAAGATGAATCTCGCGATTATGGTAAGGGGCGTTACATTTCCGACGCGTGCTTGCGGTGTTCGGCCAATCACAATGCACTGGGTCAGCTGGCCAATCAGAGCAGACTGCGCTTGTCAGAAGGAGGGACTTTGTAGAAAACTAAGCGTTTGAGAGAGGCGGGGCATAGAGGACCTACAATAATGTACAGTATTTTAAAAGTAATGTGTTTTTTGAACATTAAAGCATGTCAACATATTCTGTTACACCAAATACACAAAATAATGATCTTTAAAAAAGCATCATATGACCCCTTTAAGTCTTAAATGTAAATATCAATGGTTCCTCTCTCAAAAATAACCACAGTTTTGTCTTGGGACAATTTATGCACCAAAGTTTAATACTTAGGGTTAGGCATTTCTACAAACCCCTAAGTAATAGTGCCTAGAAAGACCACTAACCAACCATTGTTACTATGGTATTTGTGGGAAACTATGGCTACTACAGTAAAGTTTTATAATTTTTCCTACTTAAAAGATAAATGCTATGTCAAAAGCTGATGCAACATATTTCTTTAAAACAAAAAGGCTTCAGAGGCCTCAAAAATCCCTTTTCATGAGTGAAACTGTAACACAGCGTGTACTTTTTCCTTAGCCATAACACCTTTTTAATAAAGGCCGGTAAGATTTGCTTCATTATCTCCTTTAAATAAAAGTTTAAGCTTACATCTGCCTCGCCCTGAAATCATCTTTTGTGTCTTTTATATGCACATCCACATGTGTGGGATGAAGCAGCGTCTGTATGCTGATAACTAAACGGCAATGGCGCAAAACTGCAAGAGGGCGAGACCAAGGGTGTGACCGCCTAAAGGAAATGGGCGGAAGAACTAAAAGACAGTTTCATAAAGAGAAGACAAGATCCATCCCAGGCTCATATTTGGATTCTTGCTTTTGACACACTGCACAATGCCAATTCATGCATGCCTACAAGAACATTTCTACCCGAGTAAGAGTATGTCACTTTACTGAATAGGGATGGGGATTTGTAAAGTAATAAATGATCCTGCCTCTATTCCATTTAATGATTTGGGTTCCTTAATGAGCCTTTTAGTAGTTTTGAGGAAGAAAGAATAGACAATATTTGGAAAATAAGACTTATAGTAGCCTGTCAAATGATGAGATTAATCATTTCAGATTTCAACAAAATGGTTATAATGAGAGCTGTCAAAGTTAATGATGCAATTAAATAGGTTTAAAAGCATTAACAGATTCATTCAATTTAACGGGTTAGTTCACCCAAAAATGAAAATTAGCCCATAAATTACTCACCCTCAAGTCATCCTAGGTGTATATGACTTTCTTCTATCAGACGAATCCAATCGGAGTTATATAAAAAATTGTCTTTGATCTTTCAAGCTGTTTCATGGCACTCAGCGGCTCTTGCATGCACCATTCAAAAACAAGTTAAATAAAAAGTGCCCATCCATAAAAAAAAAAGCGAATCGATGTGTCTTTGTACGAAAAATATCCATATTCAAAATGTAATAATCATTTTAATGTAGCTTGCGCCAACAGTTGTACACGGAAGCAGTTCCGGGCTGAGGGGGTATGAGGTCAGCGTTGCGCATGCGCCGGTGAGTCTCGTGAAAACCAACGTTTGTTAACAGGATCAAAGGAAGCAAAGTTTCCTTACTTTAGCAAAGTCTCCTCTTGGCTTATATCGAAATCCTCTGACATTCTTCTTTACAAATCCTCGTTTTGTACTTCTAATTCTTCACCATTGTTTTGTTTTGATCTCTCCCCTGCGCTTCCGCATGCATCACTTCTGAGCGGCGCATGCGCAAAGCCGACCTCTTACGTCATTCCCCCGGAACTGCTTCCAGTGTACAACAGTGAGCGCAAGCTAGATTAAAGAGATTATTACGTTTTGAATATGGGTATTTTTCTTACAAAAAAGCATCAATTCGCTAAAGAAGGCCTTTGTTCACCCCCCGGAGCCGTGTGAGACACTTTTTTTATGGATGGGCGCTTTTTATTTAACTTCTTTTTGGACTGATGCATGCAACACCCACTGAGTGCCATTAAACAGCTTGAAAGTTCAAAGACACTTTTTAATATAACTCCGACTGGATTCGTCTGAAAGAAGAAAGCCATATACACATAGGATGACTTGAGGGTGAGTAATTTATGGGCTAATTTTCATTTTTGGGTGAACTAACCCTTTAACACTACAACTGCTGAAAATTTCTAAAACTGATCTTTATTGATCTTAACACATGTAACATCTATAAAGTTTACAGAAAGTTATCATTGAATTAAAGCAGATTTGTACTTTAATTTCTTGCGCAATTTAATGCAGTTTGAGAAATATTCAGTAGGACTTTTTTCATGTTTTTAAAAGAAGTCCCTTATGTTCATTAATGCAATATTTATTTGATCCAAAAAAAAAAGTTTTTATTACAATTTAAAATAACTGTTTTCAATCTGAATATATTTTCAAATGTAATTAATTTATTTGATGGCAAAGCTGAATTTTCCAGTCTTTACTGTCACATGATCCTTAAAAAAAATCTTTCTAATATGCTCGTGCTCAAGAAACATTTCGTATTATAATCAATGTTGAAAACGGTTGTGCTGCCAAATATTTTTGTGGAAACAGTAATACTTTTTTTTCAGGATTCTTTGATGAACAGAAAACTGATTTGAAATGGAAATAGACATGTGATCAATTTAATGCATCCTTTCTGAATAAATGCTTTAAACATCCTTTATGAATGTTTTTTTAAAAACATCTTACTGACCCCAAGCTTTCAAATTGTAGCGCATCTTGTGTGGCTCTTTCACTAAAAACATACTCAAAAATACTTAAACTACAAAACCATTAAGACATTAATAAATTAATTTAAACATTAAATTTCTAATAATATTATACTGATTAATATGTAATATCGCAATACATTTAATACAATTTTAAACCACTTGACTGTCCTGGAAACAAATTAGAAAAAAAAAGTTGATCAGTTGCTCACATCAAAGAAACACTTTGCTTGGATTTGGAGGCCTATCATCGGTAAAGCAGCACATACGCCACAAAAATCTTTTTACAATGACTTCTAATATTAATGACTCTTGCTTGAAAGCTTGCATATAACCATCAAAAATAAAACGTACCATAAACGTCATGACAACGGCAAAGTGTCTCTAATGTATATGTTGTGTATTTTATTAGGTTGTTCTGTTCTCACACGCTCCACCAACAGAACATCAAGAAAAGCATACGGATACGGTATGTTGTAAAAAAGTTTTGAATAAGAACAGGTTCATGATTCCCAACCCTACTATTGTAGCTATTATATAGATTTATGAGGTTGTGGATGCTCATCCTATATCTCTTTCAATTAAAAGGTCAGAGCACAATTGGCTGTGACCTGAAACTAGAACAATGTGTGCCATACCAAATTAAAGAACAGTATGATAAAATGAGACTTTAAAGCTAGACTACTAGCGCTACAACCGAGCATGTGCAATAGGACACAGCCATATTACCTGATCCCTCCGACCGCCCGTCGCTTCCGATGAGAGGTACTGTGATGGCGGCGGTAGCCACTCCGTCTGTGGGTATGGTTGTGTAGACCACCGGTAAGGACTGCACCACCACGGGGATGGTCTGCAGCTGCCCCATTTTACTGGGCATGGTCACAGAGGGTATGGTGTGGATGACATGCAGGATCTGCTGACCTCCAACCCCTTGCGTGGACGCCAGGATGGAGCCCGGCGACAGCACCGCCGGGATGGTGGCGCTCACCGTGATGTTGTGAGGAGGCGGGTTTGCAGGGGTGGAGGTTGCTGTGGCTACCGGAAGGGAAGGGCGGGGCTTGTTGAGGGACAGGTCTACGGGTTCCGTCTGGTCGTCATTGTTGTGTTGGGTGCTGATGTCACGGAGCGGAGGGGGCGAGGACTTGATTTTGAGGTCTGTAGGCTCAGGATATTCGTCTAATGGCTCTTCTTTCTGTAGAAGCACAAAAATAGAAGAAAACTGTGAGGAAAGCGAGGGTATAGGGGAGATAAGGAACAAATACGGAAGAGCAAACGAGGCGAGGAAGGAGATTAGGAAGGATAGAAAGGAAAGGGAGGGTACGGAGCGCTCATGCTCAGCTCTGCAGCAGCTCCACAAAACACAGGAACAATGGCTGGCCAGATTGGGCCTCTGCGTTGCAGAGGAGAAGGCCTAAACCTGGCATGAGTCCAGCTCAACATAGCCAAGCCCAGACACACACATTTATACACACATACACAAGATCTGTGTATGTACGTGCACACAAGCTACACCCACTAAACTCCCTCTGCAGTGAGACTTATAAGTAACCTTAAGGCCTGTGTGTTTATGCTTTCGGTGAAGGTAATAAAACAAATGAAAAGTTTGAAACTAATTCCTAAAGAAAGAGGTTGGTGTGTTTAAAAGTTAAACTTGTGCTGCCTTTCCATGCAAAACTCACAGCCACGATGCTAGGATGTTGTGGGTGGTTGCCAGGGTGTTGCTATGTGGTTGGTAAAGTGTTCCGAGTGGTTTTTTCGCACATTGCTTTGCAGTGTTTGGGTCTCTATGATATCCTGGTTTCTAGTGCCATTCTTCAATGTAAGTCTATAGGAATTTAAAGGATGTAAATGGGTAAAAACACTGTTCAGATTTTTCATAAATTATTTTTCTTTCACATCCTGCTTGCTGTTAAAATACTAATTAAAATATTTTTAAATATTAAAAATATTTTTAAATAAAATATTTTCCCCAATGGGCAGTCTACATTTTAAATTGGCATTTTAAAGTTCCAGGTGAGTGCATGTTTATTATTATTATATTGTTGTTTGTTTTTAAAAGAGGTTTTTAAAGTACGCTTATTTTAAAACCATTACTGGAGATGTAAATAAAACATAATACAAATTTCTTGTGTCAAACACATTATTTTAATTAATCAAATTGCTTTTATTTATTGCTGTACCGTTTATTTATTGTTTTTAAAATTAATTGTATTATATTTAATGCTTTTATTACATGCTCATCTCCATTTTCTCTCTAAATACTCAATAATAGCTATCAATTAATTATTATAATAGTGATGCCTGCATTAATAATAAGGTTTTATGTTAATTTGCTGTAATGAGATCTTTCAGCTTGAGGAATCCACACAAAGTGCATATGCATGCATGGAATTGCTTAGATGCATTTAAATGTTTAACTTTCCAATTCACATGCTTAAATGACATCATCAAAAACATAAGCAGCATGGCAAATTCAAACAATAAAAAGTCAAGACAGGTACAGACAGAGGTTATACAGTTGTGTAACTGGAGGTGTTGGGAGGAAACGAGTGAGAGAAAACAAGAGCGAGTAAGCCGGGGTGGGAACGAAATAGAGAATAAGGGGAGAGTGGGTGGGAAAGGCCTACGGTTGTCATGGAAACTGGGAGGTATATCAGCTGACTCATTTTCCCTCTCTCTCTCGATCCCGCCCACCTCTCTCTCAGTCTCTCTATGGTACTCCACCCTGCCACCTCACTCTCTCTCCATCCCCACCCTTTATCCACTCCACCTTTCTTGGCATCTTGAGTTGTTTTCCACTGCTCAAACTCAAAGAAATCACATAAAGATGTAGTGCTGGAGTCGGGAGAACGACATCGATAAGTGACCCAATTATCACTAGCGTGCTGTGTGGGATGTTAATTGAGTGTGTTCAATATCTATTAGCAGTTGTAGGAAACTGTCTAGGCCTGCGGCAGCAAGTGAGTGTTGTGCGAAGGATGAGCCTTTGGCTGTCATTATCAAAACCAATTGTGTTTGATCTGTGTGATCTCTTAGATAACATTCATATTAGCTATACATATAGTTGGAGTTAACTAGATGCAAACAAAAACTAATTGTGAGAAAAACACAACAGATTGAGCGGCATTCACTACACAGAGCTGTAGTTCACTGACAATTAGGCAATATCGCGTTCATAATTGCAAATGAATTGCATTCGATTATGAACGCGATATCGCCTAGCTTGTCAGTGAACTACGGCTCTAAGTAGTAAATGCCGCTCCATCTGAAAGCAGGTGATGGCGATTTACTACCAATCACGGAACCGGCTTTACTGACGAGATGCGCATGACAATCGCATGCGATTAATTGCACAGCCCTAGAAACAAGCAAAACATTATAAGAGTTCTTCACAAATCAACACCAAAGTCACCAAATTACTGGCTTTTTTATTATAAATTAAACAGACATTACAGATGGTCATTTAGGTATCCAGTGTTATAATAATAATAATGTACTTATATGACCAAAATCTCATTAGAATTTTTCATACCAGGATTTTTGGTACCATGGTAATCCAATACAGTTATCTTTGCAGTAAATGCAGTAAATTGTTCATATATATTACATGACCACGGCTATTTTTCAAAAATCTAGTGACTCAAAAAACAATTCATTACGAATAAGAGTGGATGAGCCAAGTTTGAGTCCATTATAAAACAGCCAATTGAAGAATAGTTGCACACTCCATATTAAAGAGCCAAGTTGCAACATAACCCTCAACTGTAAGCTACTGGTTACACTATGGCGTAGTGTTGCATGATGTGTCAAAACAAAATTGTTACCATATAATTGACAAATATGACGGAAAAGCTGCCTCCCCTTATTATTAACGCACCACATCCCTTAAATCGTCCTTCATCAGGTTCCTGACAGGCGTGGGTGTGAGAGAGAGGACGGGCACAGCAACAACCAGTGCTGCTGTCCCAATGTGCCTACTTATACTACGTCCTTAAAGTACGTACTTTTTTGGTGAAGAAAAAGTACAAGAGTAGGCAAACTTTAGGACATACTATCACGCCATACAATTGTGTCTTTAACGGACTGCTCTGTCGCATAATTACACGCATTATACTGGCATGTCAATCATCTTCTCACAGCTAACATTCTCCACATTTAATTTCATTTAACTTCCTACCATATCGGAGAGAAAAGAAGTAGCACGTTGATCTGCCAGCCGTGGGTCTTTATGCGGAGAACTGTTTTGAATAATGATGCATTTAAAAGTTAACGACTAAACGGATGTTTATAAAAGTTTTCATTGCTGTTGCACATGAAATTTCACAGATAAAATTAAATAAATATTTTTTTTACCAGGTTAAACAATACTGCTGTCCAGCTAGAATTAGTCAGGCTGTCGAGCCCCTCAAATGCCACAGTCCGAGGAAAGCAGAGCTGCTACAGAAACCGCTGCTCCTCCTAGTGCCCTGGATAGAGGAGGGGAGCACGTGCGGCCGCTAGGACCCCACATCCCTTTACCTGGGCTGAATTCTTTTGACAGTACCTGCCTTCATGACTTCCCTGGCATACCAGCTCCCCTGTTTATTTTGGACACTTTTATCCCCTTGGACACTTTATTTACCGTTTTTGGAACTTTTTTTGGGAGGTTTTATTTATGTTAAGTATAACCCAATCCTTACACCATACCCACTGTGTCTGTTTGAATCCCAGTTTTACAAACTTGACCATAAACTGAGACACGTCAGAGGACCTAAGGTCAGCAGAACCTTGTTATAAACCGTTGCTCTTTGAGAATGTTACTCTGGGACTTACTAGGACCAGAAGGGGCTCAACTCATAATGCATGAGGCCCTGAGATGGAAGTAGGACTTCAGCTCTGAAGGGCCGAAAGGGTGTTCAAAGCCGCATGTTGCACAATCGTGTAACCTGAGATTGAACGTTGGCTTGTGTTCCATACCACAGCTAGGCCCAACTGGACCCCCCTAGGAGGAGTGGTTGAGAGGGTGCAGGAGAAGTACACGCAGAGGGGGCAGAGAGAGGTGTGTGTTGCTCTCTGAGCAGTGTGGGACAGTTTTCCTAGCAGCAGGGAGGAAAGGCAGGGCCTCTCCAACTCCCCTGCTGTCGTATAGCTAGTTTCTCTGACCGCTGTAAGTACACAAGTGAAACCTTCGCTCAAATTCCAAAGTGCAGGAGCTGCCCCACTCTAGGGCCTTGTCCCTTCACTGGATGATTGAGGCAAATGGAGGTGAGAGGGAATATAATAGTGAAACCATTCCAGGTTTAAGAAGAGATTTGTTGATTCCATGTCCAAAATAGTGTTTTGACAGGCAATCCAAGACATCTTATTCCATCATGAAAAATAGGTATCACATAGCCACCATCTTTTAAGATTGTCTTCCAAAGTGATATCACTGCATTAACTAGTGTTATAGTAGATACTCACCCAACCAGAACCTTCACATTGAGGATCCAATAAATAAAACTTAAAACTATTGTTTCAGGTTTAGTACTCTAGCTAGCCTACATTAAGTATCATATGAAAGCTCACAAAATAAATAGCGGGGTACTGGGTTGTATTAGTCAAGAGAGCATTCTGCACATAAACATTCACACACATTGATCTACAGTCTAACACAATGGCCCATAAGCCCTAAGGTGGAAAAACCAAAACAAATAGCTCAGCTTTCTTCTCATCGCAGAGAGTAAACACAAAAAACTCGACAGCGGAAACATATATGAGATCAGATTTTGTGACATGGTGCATAGCAAAGCTTGAGAATATAAAGGTACTGTAGTGATGTGAGATCTTGTCTCCAAGGATCCTACTCATGGAATATCATTGCTTACCTCAGTGTGAAGAAGCCTGGCTAACATTTCACCTAATCTGAATTAGTAGGCAAAAATCTCGTTTGCTTGTTCAACCTTTTCTCTTTTTGCATAATTTACATTTTGGTGTACATTTACACCAAAGTTACACACTAGTATGCAGGTTTCTTTCCAATCATTAGTTTGCACACTTCTACTGACAGCGCTTTTTTTGCACTTCACTTTTCTAAAGGATGTCAGGTAAGCTGCTTGGTTAATTGATGTGACACACTTTCACATTCTTTAACATTCACATTTCATATATCTCATCAATTCATATTTGGACTTGGAAAAAAACAAAACAAGATAAATTCTAAATATAATTAAAATTCCTGATCGTGTGGATTCCTATTGAAATGACTGTATTTCCCCTGAGAAAATTCAACGAACCACAGAGAATGTGACCATACCTTAAGACAGGACGATACTGTTTGACCGATAAGTGATCAACTATTGATGTTAAATCTATTCTGCAGAATGTAGCTTTGAGGAGTGAAGACATCTATGTGCTCATGTAAATTAACATTTCGCAGATATACATTTTTAGATACATTTAGTACTTTTATCAGTTAAATGCATCAAAATAATGATGACTCATCTAGCACTCAGAGGAGTATACAAATTTCTGTCCAATGAAATTAGCAATAGCTAGTAGCAAATAATGGTTCACAGCTGTTACATAAGCTAAAAGCTATTTTTATATATAAAATACAAAGCATTATGTTCCATCCTGACTTCCTGTTTTAATAGGAAATATGTTAGCATAGGAAGGTAAACTGTGCTTTTGAAGCAATTTCATCAGGTCTTTAAATGTCAACCATCTAAATTCCTCTCTCATTTTTGTACAAATTCTGTTTATGTGAATAGTTTTCTGTGCTCACTATCGGTCTTGTAGCTTTAGACCGTTCTCCACTGTCATCTTTGCGTAAAGTATCTAAGCATCCATCTTAGGTTTATAGGATGCAAGCTCTTCTTACATGTAAAAACACTGAGCACTGTGAGCAGTTGCCATTTTGACAAGTTTATTTGATTCTTGTAAGCTGTAAAATAAGTTGTGGTATGAGGGTGAAGTGAACCAACCTCTAAGGGAATAACTGACTGACGAGTAAACTTACTTTTCTCAGAGCCGCTCCACTAACTCCATGCACTGCCAAATAAGGTGTTCGAGGACCAACTACGAAAACAAATGAGATGTTCCTTTAGTTTTCATGGAAGAAGACAGCCGCTACAACACTTGGGGGGGGATACTACTTTTTTGTCAAGAAAATAAGGTCTCTGGTTGTGTATGCATGTGCAAATCTGTGTGTACGTGTACATGTTTGCCGCTGCTGTTTAAATATGTCAGAACAAAGTAATTTTAATGCAGTCTGTTGGGGCCTGGGGCACATCTTGTTCTGTGTACCAGCCAGTGCTGTCACTGCGTCCCTCCATGTAATCAACTCATCGGTCCAAAAGCAAAAGAAGAGAAAGAAAAAGAGTGAGAGAGAGAGAGAGAAAGGAAAAGAGAAAAGAGGCAGAAGGGGAGGATACACTTGTAAGGTCACAGCTGCATGGGGTGCGTGAGGGGGATGAGCAGGCAGAGGGTTTGGTGACACACACGGAGCGCAGGCTGTGGTGCAAGGACTCTGTCCTACCCTCTGGTTTTTTCTGTTAGCCTCTTAAAGGTACAATGCCTCCATTTGGCCAAAGATCACCCTGTGTCAGGTGTCTCTCTTTAAAGCACTATGCCCTATGAAAGTATTGCTGTGGTACCAGTGATAGTTTCAGATGGTAATACAAGAGCACTTTGATATTAGTCTAGAATTTGTTAATTGCCGTAAGGTCTGGCATACATTTGTAGCTTGTCACATTAGTGAAATTTCAGAAAAATTGTGCAGGCCAAAAAGGTCTATTGTCTATTATGCATGAAGCTTTCTCTTGGTCAACATGACAAACTTGAACCAGTCGCGAAATCTGTGTGGGGAAGCGTTTTGCAGTTACATAAAATTCCTATTAAAATGACTAGATTGTGCCCATGAAAATTCGCCAAACCATGGTAAATGTCATCACTGTAAATGTGACAGGACGAGATTGTTTGACAGATATGTAAAGCAACCAACTGTTCACGTTAAACCTATTCAGCAGAATTTTGCAGAGCAAAAACAGTGCAGAAAATGCAAACGTTAGTTCCTTTTGGGTCAGCACATGGGTTATAATTACAAAAATAAGAGGTCGTCTTTCTATTCAGTACTGCATCCCCCCAAAGCAGAGACTAATGGCGCTTTTCCACTGCATGGTACGGCACGGTAGGGTTCACTTTTGGGGGGTTTTCCACTGGGTACAGTACCTGGTACCTGGTACTTTTTTTAGTACCACCTCGGTTGGGGTTCCAAGCGTACCGTACCGTTACCAAAACGTGACGTGTAAACTCTGCTGATCACGGATTGGCCGGAGAGAATCGTCACTACCTGCGTCACTGAACTTGCGACACAAACACAAAAGAAGCGCTAGATTTAAATCAGCACAGCCAGTGAAGGATCGAACGCAACTTTTTGAACGAGCGCACCTTTTTTAAACAACCAAAAAGTGGCTGTTACCCCTGTTGAGGAAGTACAGACGTTGCTCTCGTTGATAGCAGAAGAGCGGATCCAGCGAGAGCTTGATGGGGCGACGCGGAATGAAAAAGTTTTTTAGGAGTCACGGCAGT